GAGGGGGAAGGGAGACAGGGGAGGGGGGAGGAGAAATACAGCCACGGAGGAGGTACCTGTGCCTTCCGTGGTTCTCTCCCTTAGGCATGTGGCTTGGTCACACACAACCAATCCCCAATCCCATTAGGAGCCTCCGCTGTTCCCCATCCCACAGTCAGGGCTGAGGATCATCACTGGAGCACTGAGGCTTCCTGGGGAGCAGTAACCTGTGCATTCTGCACCCAGCAGAAGGCCAGTGGGCCATAAGCCCCAATAAAGGGGGCAAAGCTCCTCCATTTCCCCATCCGACCTCCCCCTGCCCTGGGAGCTCTTGCACGCTCCCTAGGAGTTCAGTCTGCTGAGCCCACGCTCTTACTTCCCAGGCTCCCTTCTTACACACTCTCTCCCCTCTGTCTGTTTTTCTTCTTCTCACATAAGGTGCTGTTTCTATTCTCCAGCCAACTGATAATTGTCTTCCCCTTCACACACTCAGAGCCTCTCAGGCAAGCCCAGCAGGGTAGGTGGAAGGCGTTCTCGCAAGCTCCTGGACTCGTTGCCTCCGCAGTGGGCTGTGCCACTGTGCTCAGCCCCCAGCCCCAGCCAGGATCAGCAGCTGATCCCTATCAGCAGCACCCACACAGATCTAGCACAGGGCTTCTCTCTCACCTGGATCCTCAGCCCACACTGCAAACCAGGGCAAGAACTGCTCCAGGCAGTGAGGCAAAGCACACCATGGGCCAGGAACTGGGTGGCCTCAGTCCTCCTCCACCCACACTGGAAGGGCCACTTCTCTTCACTGGGCCTTGGCTTTGCCCCCGACAAGGGCATGACCTGAGCCAGTGGGTAAATGACTTAAAATAACAAACAACTGAGCAGCTTCCTCACATCAGGTCATCATCTACCCTGAGGCTGCACCTTCTTGGCCTCCTATATATCTCTTCCAAAGTGAAAGGGTAGAATGGGAAAATCTGATTTAGGATCAGAACACCTGAGTTCAAATTCTGATGCTGCCACTTCCCAGGTGTTTGATGTAGAGCAATTTATTTTTAACTCTCTGAGTCTCATTTACCTTCTTCATGTATAGTTATTATATTATTTTTAGAAATTTTTTTTATATTGAGTCAAAATATCCCTCACCTCTACCCTCTGCAGCTATACCGATTATTCTTTATTCTACATAGCAGCTTGTCAAATATTTGAAGGTTGTTATATCGTCAGAAGCCTTCTTTTTTCTGGGATTTAATAGATGTCCCTCATTCCATAAGGTGATCTGCCTACATAATGACTTCAAGACTTCTCACTCTGGACCTCAGCTGATTTGAAAATGTCCCTCTTTAAATCAATGCCTAAAGAAGAAACTTTTTAAGGCGAATGAATCGTTCTATATTTTCAGTATGGGGGAGTCTACACCATTGTCTACAATTACCAAAATTCGTCAAACCATACACCTAAAACAAATGAATTATATTGCATGTAAATAATTTTAAAAGAAAGGAGCCTAAGTCCATGCAACTTCAAAAATAAAAAAAGTTTATGACCAAAAAAATTAAAAAGTCCTCAGAGTGGAGCTTATACTCAGCCTCCAACCAAGAGGCTTCTCAGACACACTCTTCCGTTACAGCCACGAATGGAACAAATAGCCACAAGCCTTCACAATGGAAATAAAAGAGGCCTTGAAATGCAGAGGCAGTGTTGGCTTAACATTAAATAAAAATGAGCAATTTTTTTAAACAATTAAAAAATTAAATTCTTCTTTCCCAGTAGAATGTTGAACGGAATGAGATTTGCCCTCACTAAAATTTGGATTTAAAAAAATTTCACTCCTATAAGTGGGTCTGATTTGATTAATGCAAAGCAGAGTAATTGATTACATAGATCTAGACATTAATGAGAAGGGAAAATTACATTATCCAATATGTGCTAGGTAAGCCTTTATATCCAGTATTCTGTTTAACCCTCATCATGACCCTATGAGATGATACCCATTTTACAGATAAGAAAGCTTTTTTTTTTTTTTCCTTTTTGTCTTTTTCCGTGTCCGGCAACGGATCGCAACCCTCAGTGTCACCCCCGTTGCCCCCGTACCAGACCGGGACCGGCAATCGCCCCCATTGCCCCCGTACCAGACCGGGACCGGCAACGGGATCGCAACCCTCAGCGTTGCTCCTGCGCCTCGCTCAGCCAGTGAGCGGGAACCGGTCTGTATGTGGGATCTGAACCCTTGGGCGGGAGCGCCGCCGCGCTTCCCAAGCGGCGCACTATAGCAGTGCACCACCGGGCCGGCCCAGATAAGAAAGCTTAAATTGATCGAGTTCATTATCCTGCTCAAGATCACCTGCCTCAGAAGGATTGCAGAGCCAGCATTGGACCTCAGCCTGTCTGTCTCCTTAGGTAGTGTTGTTTTGCCTCTACGCTGTCTTCCTACCATCAAGCAAAAGAATGTGCCATCCTTCACTAGAGGTACTCAAGCAGAGGCTGATCTGCGAGTAGTGTTACAGAAAGATGTCCTACACTGTTAGGGAGACTACAGTAGGTGATTTCTTTGGTTCCTTCCAACTCTAAGATTCTGTGATCCTAAATACCGTGGGTATTAAGGCAACTCTATGCAGGAGAGTGTGTGGTATAAGTTCTGGTGCATGCGTAGAGGGCATGTAGATAAGAATAATGAGCATGAGCCTTGACATTGAACAGATATGAATTGAATCCTAAATCTGCCATTAGTAGCTTTGTGTTTTTTATTGTGAGCTCAAGTTTGTCTGGGCTTTTTCTATAGGAACCCTCAGGAGCCTGGGTAGAGAATTTTCTTTTGTTTTTGTCAGGCAGCACCTATCCATACCTCTGGAATGAGGAGGAAAGGAACTAATAACCTGGGACCAATTTATGTTATTTACTTTTCTTGGTGCTTCTGGATCATGCAAATAATTAATGTCAGTTACAACCCCAGCCCCCTTGCCTCCAAAGGCAATCTGTGCCTGGGAATTTGCAGGGAAGAATTCTTTTTTCTCCCAGGGTCCAGGCCAAGATATTTGAAAGAAAAAAGTTAGATATATTTTATCCAGTATTTCTATAAACTTCATAGAGGGAGGGTCTTCAGATTATCTGGTCTGCCAGAAATGGTTCTACCATTTAGCAGTTACTTTGTCTCTCAAAGACCCAACTTTTTCATTTATAAAAAATGGATAATATTGACAACTTCAGAGGGTTGCTTGGAGATTTAAGACATTTGTAGAGTGTCCAAACCTGGAAAAATGCTGAGAACATAAGAACATTATTATTATCATTATTGCAAGAATAAGCCATCTTAATTTATGGGCACACATTGTGCAAACAGGCTTATGAAAATAAACAGGCTAGAAGTGGGTAACTTGTGCCCAACAGTGGGCAACTCAGGAATTTACAATGTTTGGGGGCATTAGGGGTGGCATTCTGCCTGCTCACAACATAGCATTTTGTGCAACTGATTAGAAACAGAAAACTAGAAAATTTCTCAATGCTTCCCAGCATTTTTCCCACATAAAAATTGTTAATAGTTGTGTAGTTCACTAGGACAAACAGACGAAGCTTTTTAAGGCTGGAGTGACCTGCCTAGGGCCAGCTACTATGCTCTCCACCCCGACTCCCCGAAGGTTGGAAGGATCAATACCTATTTCGTCATACTTGTAGAAACCTATAAAACATCATTGAGAACAACTAAGAAAACCTAAGTGAAGATTATGCTATATTCATGGATTGAAAAACTCCATACTGTAAAGGTGTCAGTTC